TTTCCAGAGTCAAGTCAGCCTTTGACAGCCCACGGAAAAACATTCCTTGTCTTCTGTTTACAAATTACACTGTACCCTGATATGGACATCTTCCGTCCTCCAAACCTAATAACCAAGTCTTAGGGCATCCTCATACAGTGGGGAAATAATTTACATGGGAGAGAAGGAAGTGAAAGGTTGAACATCCATCCAAGATCACAGAAGGAAGAGGGAAACACCTTCCTACCAGTAACATGGAAAAGAAAGAGATTGAACATCTTGATGTTCTCCACTGTGGATACAACTCTGCTCTTTAAAAACTGCCACACAGAGAGCAAAATAGTAATCTGTACGGCAACAAGCTCCGAGCCTGTCCTGACTCAAACTGCCATCAAATTCAGGACGAGGCCTGGAAGATGGAGAAAGTTCAGCAGGGTGAGGCAGCCTGTCTGGGCTACATAACAAATGCAAATCAGCCCCAAAGAGCAATCAGGGCTGCAAAACCACAGCATCAATCACCCTGATCATTCTCTATTCCCTGCTCTCCTGATCATCTTCAAGCAAAGCACTGTCTGATTTCTGTAGGCAGCAGAAAGGAGAAGGCAAATGAGAAGGAACAAGAGAAGAAGTGGGTGGGAAAAATAGTAGTGCAGTCTGACAGATGAATGCTTCTACAAGGGGAAGGGTTGTTTTTCAGCAAGCCACGCCCTTAACTTTTGAGAAAACCTCTTAAGAGATGTCATGAATACCACACAAAGGTTGAGTTCTGCTGGATGTGCTACAAAGAGCTGGTAGTGCAACATTAAAAAAAAAAAAAAAAAATTAGTCAGTGTCATAGTGAAATTGGTTCTTGCCCAAAAAATATCTGTGGTCAGTCTGCAAATTGAATTCTGTTACTGACCTGTGAGAGATATTTCATCCACATGAAGTTGAGTGCTGGACAAAACCACAGCTCTGAAATTGTTACCTCCACAGTAACTGGGCAGTTGGATGGATATTTAGATTAAAATCCTGGTTTATAGGCAGAATTCCCATCAATTGCAGATGGATTAGGATTCCATCCCTCTTGCTCATTTTTTTAAAGGTTGGTAAAGCTTAAAACACAGAAAAAAATCAACTCAATTATCATTTCTAGCTGTCAGGAAGGAATTATATCAGTTCTATCTTACAGAAGGAAATCTGCGCTGTCTAGCAGTAATCAGTTCCATATTTGTGAAGCCTTCCAACAAAACACTTTTTGTCTATGATTTGTATTCATCTTAGGACATACTGATTTCAGACCCTCTGTGGATTGTAACGTATAAACAGCCCTTTTATTTTTAAATGCAACTAAGAAACTATTTGGCAGGGTCACTGCAGTTCTGAATCTGGAGCAAAATATACCAACTGCAACTGGCGTCTACGCTGCAAAGCAAGCAAGACAGGGCACTTAAAGACAATTGTGTTCGCTCAGTTTAGCTAAGAATAGGACATTAATAAGAAATATTTTAATCTCACAAGCATCATGTTTTAAAGGGAACTTTAAGCTTTCTTTGGTCAATTTGACAGGCATGTGATGATCTCATGGCATGGAAGCTGGAGACTGAAGCAGAGAAGTTCTGAGATTCCAATAAAATCTCCCGACCATCTTAGCAAACTGCATGAATTTTCCCACTGTATGCCTCTCAAACTTTATTCCCATTAGAGAGAAGATAATTCTACGATTACTTCTTAAAAAATAGTCAAGGGAAATAAAATTTAGCATATCCTTACCAAATGAACTCTGTCCCTTGGAGTTTACTACTGACTAACTACAGAGGTACCAGCAGGATGTCACTAAATTCCTGTCTTTCCAGAACAGGTACTACACGTTCCTCTGCTTCCAACTCTGCCTTCTTGATGGGTGTTGGGGGTACTGTTTTTTGTCTGAAGGATTTTAGTCGAATTTTCTAGAGATTCAAGGTTGCTACACCCTCACTTGTACCAGCAACGTTATAAAACATTGTTTAATTCAACCAAGGTTCACAGAGATATAAAACCCCTGAAGACACACTGGTTTTGGGGGTCTGGTGGAAAAAACGGCCTTAGAGACAAGCCCTCCAAAAGCAATGCCCTTACAGAGGGACAGGCTGCAGAGCTCGGCTGCTACCTGCCAGCAGGTTGATCAGCACGTACCTGTAAAAACACAGGGGAAGGAGCTGATGGCGGCGGCAATATGGTGAGATCAGATGTGCAAAGGATGGAGCTACTAGAGGTTAGGGAGTAAAGGAGGAAAGTCACCTTTTACTGTGGTGTGCAGGAGGCAGGAAAGAACAACCCACTCCCAAACGCACCTCTGTCAGCTCCGGGATGTTAGGTGTGCGGGGTCAGGGCGTGCAAGGTTCACTGTCCTCTGCGAAGACGAAAAGCCAAAGCGTCAGCACCTCGGGTCCTCTTCCCAGATCAGCACCGGGCCCGGGCGAGCACAGCCTGGTTTAGCAGCAGCAGCAGCCCAGCGTAGCTGCTCCACAGCCTCTGCGGTGACAGATGCTGTTGTGGATCACGGGGTCAAGGGGAAAAGGTAGTTTTTTGGTATCAGGTGAAACAGAAATATCGCATCTGATTTGGTGCGACTAGGGAATAAAGCTGCAGTATTGAGCACTGGTAACAGGCTGGTCTCTGCCAAGTCTGAACGTGCGAACACCCTCAGGTTTTCAGTTTTAAAGGTGCTGGTATCGGAAGGAATGAACGTGCTGCAGGTGTGTAGAAAGACAGACATCACAGGACTGTAAATCAGGATGCAGAGCTTTACAGTCCCTTTTCACTAGTGCATTCCGGGCCAGGTTTCACGACCAGCATTTGATTATTGTGCTATGTGAAGGAAGTTGTTGAATTTCAGTCCAGTTCCCAGTGGGCAGGTTCCACATGACAAAAAAAAAATAAAAATCCCCGTATTATACAATTGACACTAATTGGATCCTTTTTTAAGCTCTTCAGAAGAGAGGCCAAGGCTTGAACATCATGGAAACAGAACTAACTGTTCTGTGAACTCCCCAGAACAGAGACACATGGATGCAATGCTGTGGGAGACTTATGTGGCATCTCAAAAAATATAGGTTTCAGATTCTAAGACTTCTGCAGTCTTCAACTTTCACCAACATTCAAATTCACCTACATTAAAAGAAAATTAAATTGCCCTCCCCCACAAAAAGCAAACCACAACAAAGCAAACATCCTCCAGCAAACTATTTGCTTGAATCTATTAAAACCTGCCAAGTCAACGTTCCAGTCTCAACTGCCTAACCCAGCCTGCCAACAACAGAAGTCTCAGTTTTTTGCTCCTCTATTTTACATTAACAAAAGTCAATTGTGGCGATGAATTGCATCACATGCCAACAATATATCACATTCCTTCACAGCTGCTTTTTGTAAAGGGAAGGAAAAGACCTCATCAGTCACTGACAACACTTCTATAAACCATAAACATTTAAAGAACATTTAAAGTTAGGATGGTCAACTACCAAACAAAATCCTAACAAAGTGGCATAGCGTGAACTATCAATTCCAGATAATAAACTCACGTGTGTATGAAGAACCTCCACATTATCCAAATCACAGTAGTCATGAACTTATTTTAATAGAGGAGCAGGTCAGATTGAAAAATAATAGTGACTTATGAGCAGGAAAGCCTGTTATCAAGGTAGCACGCTGGACTTTGCCTAACATATTATCAAAAAAAGAGAAGCAAAACTGCATCTTATTTTTTCTTGTATTCTTTAACTAAGTAATAGCTAAAACAAAAGCATTAAGTTAATTCCCCTTAGGATTTATAACTGATTTAAATAGAAGAAAAATGCACTCCTATAAAACACTCATATGACTTTAACATGTATTGTCAAAACAGAATTAGACTGCAAATAAAGGACCTATTATAGTATATCTTTTAGTGCAGTAATTTCATTATCTGTAACTAACAAATAATAAAGGATAATAACAAAGAGGGAAAGAATACAGAACAGGGAGAACAAAGCTGATTACTAGACATGCATACAAAATGTGGCTGGGTGCTTCCTGGAAGCTCGAGTAAACCTCAAACTGTTTGATGTGATGTATATATTCATTCACATCTTTAGAAAACAAAAATGCTTACCACCATATATATTCTACAACAAGCCAATTTTTAATTATAGCTATCAAAATAATAATAAAATCCTAGCAGTTTCATTCAACATGCTTCAGTCATGGAGACCACCAATGCAAATAAAAACACAGCATTTGAATCCCCAATTAACTATTGGCAATTATAAATGGGGACACTTTAAAAATAAATTATGAAGATAATTAATCATTTTCACGCACAACGGTAACAACGTAACATCATGCAGAGGTTTTAAAAGCCTCATACTTTCTGTATTTCTGTTCTGGTTACTTTGTGCCAAGATTATAAAAACATATTTTAAAAGAGGAAGAGAAGAAGGTGAAAAGCTTCCATCCCTCCCTCTTAATTTCATGTAGATATTATTGGATTAAAATATTCAGCCACTAAATCACTGCTATGGAATGTTAACATTTTAAAAGGACTCCTGCATTTGAAAGATAAACCTAAGACTAAAGGGGGCAAAGGAAAGTCCATAAAAAGTTATTCTACTCCATCACTGACAAAATAAGCACTTGTCAACCGAACATGAAGTGTTATGGTCATATGGCAAAAGGAAGTTTTATTAAAATCATCATCACTGGAATGAAAAGCATAAATATAAACCCAAAACTCAGTAACATACTATGCTTAGCATCTTTCTGTAACAAGCAATTAAGAGTCAAATAGTTACTTGCCGCTAAGAATTTTATGTCAGAAAATAAAACTGTGTACTACAGATGTGCTGGCAGTTCACAACTGCCTGCAAAGTGAAAGAGAAACATTCCCAGAAGCCAGCTCCAGCCTTGCAGGGTTCCCTCCACCAGCCGCCAATAGGTTTGACTCGCGGGACACTGGTGCCCAATCATTTCTCCCTAAAAAGCCAGTTAAGATCTGCCTGCTTCTATTCTGTCACCACTCATTTTGCTCTCACCCTGTGCAAATGCTCGTATTTTCATGTAAGCTGCTGAATTCAAAATGGCAAATTGCTCCTCAGAGACGTACACAGAACCTTCTGTTTCAGCAGAAAAGTCATACTTTTGTCCCACTCTATTCTGATCCTCCAGCAGAAGAAAGCAAGCTCAGACCTGATACCTCCAACTTTAACACACACGCCCACAAAGAAAACCCCCAAAACCCTTTTGGTTAAAAACAGCCTTACATTATAGGGTCATCTTTATAGATAATGATTTACAAGTGAATACTCTGTTATTAAAACCAGGCTACAACAATATGTACAAGAATGTTGTACAAACATTTTTGTGATTATGCTTTCAAATATTCCATCGAGGTAAATTACTTGAAAATACCTACAGAACCTTTAAAGAAACATAGTTCTACTGAGGGCCCAGTTAGCTAGTACAAAACAAAAGCATTATTGCTCTTTTTACTGTCAAAAAGTTTCCAAAAGTTTGAATTTCTGTACTAATACATAAAACCCTATCATTACAGTTGTGGCAAGTATCAATACAAGGGGAGAGCAGGCAGACCCTTCTACCCTCACTCCCACTATTGAGGACACTAGCTAGTGTGACTGACAGCATCCCGCTGGGAGAAGACAATTTTTTGTGCAAATAACCAATCATTTCAGAATGAGGTCTGCTGATACAACGTGGATTCTGGTGATCTATTTCCTATTTAGCAGAAGCTGCAACTAACACAAGTTCATTAGTTATTCATAAGTTTATAAGCAACTTACAAACTGAGTAATTTCAGATAACATCAGATTACAACAAAAGTTCTATATCAAGAGTTGTACAGAAAAAGCCTCAGGGAAGGAAAGCAGTAATGAATGTTACAATCAGGCTCATCGTTTCAGAAATAGTATGCCGTGTGAGTAATCCAATTGGAACACTCTTCCTTTGAACGTTTTGCTGAGCTGTGTGATGTAAAAATAGATTTGTATGCCTCAGATTTCTCCTCGCTGTCTGCAATGGATCTCTTCGTAGTAGTAGAAGCAGCCTTTTTGACTTTTCCTGGTACAGATGAATTTCCATTATCTGACAGAGAAACGGGAAAAGAATGAAGCATGCATAACAGCTTACAACTGATAAAAGTATTTAAACAAAGATGGATAAGAGTATGTAAAAATAATGTGTACTGAGATGAAGAACATACATTTTTTCAGGGCTATTGCAAATATATCCCATAATTGTACTCAACAGCAAACATGTTCCTAGCTTTTATAATTTATGCTCAAAATACATTTAGAAATCTTGGAGAGAGGGGCACTCTTTCCTACTTGTGTAAATCCCTTGCACTGTAATTCAGAATTGACAGCATTTATTCCTCTAAGTGAAGAATGTCTCTGAACTCTAGTCTTAAGACATGAAAGTATTCCACCACCCTGAAGTACTGTTTAGAAATCAGCTACCAAATGACAAAAGCTAAACTTGTGACATACTGTCCTCAGAGAATCTATCTCCTCCCTTTATTCTTTGCAGAGTCATTTATGACCAATAACAATGGTCTGCATCATTTTATATCTGGGATAGGAAAGTGCCCATCCCTCTGTTTCTGATAGCATCTCTCTCAGTGTATTATAGCTACTGCTACAAAACCCCACCTCTTTCTTAACAACTATTTAATCTTCTCCAGAGTTGAAGGACAGTATTTTAAAAAACACATGCCAAGTCTCTTCTGCAAAGAAATTAATACACAGAAGTCTGCAGAAACTCTACATATTTAGTTTAACTCCGGCACAACGGCATGTAAATAGCTAGTGGGGAGCCTGTCTGAAAACGCACTTAACTGATTTCTCCATGTAGTCATAGGAATTATATGTACAATCCTAAATCATCACAGATTATACCCTTTTTATATTTGGAGAATGCTGCTTTTAATGGCACCAATAGTTGTCTGGAAAGAATTACCAAACACTGGATTTGAAAGAATGAGTATGTATGCCGCAAGTCCAGAAACCTTAGGGTGCCATGTTCACAAATTAATTCCTATGCTACTGGCAGTCCTCAGTCCATGGATATTCCTTTATTTTCCTTCTCTGTTCTTAATCTCTTGTTGGTCAATATAACCGCTGTCAGAAACATAAACCAATGGCCTGATATTTCAAAAGGCGTTTGTTGGGGTTTTTTTTATGCTCTTGGAAAAGAAAAATACATCAAACATTATTAGAATTACTAAGTTCCTGAACATCCAAGAGCAAGTAAAATCATCTGGAATTAAATATTTTTAAAAGTCTATCCTTTATAAAAACAGACAGTAGGGGGCAGGTAAGTAATTTCTGATGGAAATTCTCCCAACTTCTCACACAGTTTATCTGCAGTTTGTCATTAACTGTTCTCAGATTCTTCAGACATACTGATTTTTTCTGTGGCTGTAATGTACATGATTGAATACTTTGTACAGAAACCTCAGACTGACTTTAAAAATGTACCCATTCTTACAGTTTGGTATAAAAATATCAGTATGAATTGGAGACATTAAGTAACATAATATATATCACCTAAAGAAAGGGCACATAGCTGCACGACTTCTGTAGCTACACCAGTACATCCTGATGTTATTCTGCACTGGCCCCAGTGACACACAGCAAATTAGCAGCTAAAATGGAGGACTAAAAGTCAAGTCATCAGTTTGGGAAATTTTAATACACTTCACTGAAATAAAATGCCATAACAGATTTCTTGATCACTTGTACTTCAGGAAAACAACCACCAATTCTCCTCACACTGCCTCTTAGCCAATAAAACATACTAATCCCTCAACTATATCACTGGGTGAGTAAGACTTTCTAATCTCATTCAAGTTGGTTCCCACTAACTTAAAGAAATACTGGAATGACATAAAGAAGCAAATCTGGCTTGTTTCACAATGAACAAAATGCAATGCGGTGAAAAGTGTTTATTATTTTTATTAGTTATCTGCATGACTACAGCACTTGCCAGTCACAAGTGTGAGCAGAGACCCTGTTTTACGTATTTTGAGAAAGTGACTGGGTTAAGGAAAAACAGGCAAACAGAAGCCCTCACACACTTTCAGTAGTCAGTTTTGCAGACTGTAAAGCAAAGCTCTGTTTTAAGAAAAAGTTAAATTGACTACAGTTTCTGTTGAACAATGAGATTTGTGCATGTTCATAATGCAGCTTCCTACTCCAGCTTGAAAAGGCGGCCTTTTAGGAGAGACTTTTGAAAGAGCGGGTTCTTTGAAAACATTATGGCTCCCTTGAAGGCAGAAACTGACCTTTTATTACTGAGAAAGATAAAAAAATGCAAGCGAGAGGGTAGCTTCTGAAACCTATGGTACAAAAAGCTGGAGAATTATCTCTCCTACAATATTTTTCAAAGCAGAACTATGTGTCCCCATTTTTCGCATTTTAGTCTAAGAATCAACACCAACCTGAACTTTTGGTGAATATAATCTGCCTCTTTTCCCCCGAACTGGAATCGATACAATCCTTTCCATTCTTAGCATTTGATGGACCTGGAGAATCTAGGAAATTAAAAAATATTAAATCATGAATCTACTTCTTGAGTCAGAAGGCTACACATAGTTTGTAGCTGTGACATTACCTTCAGTGGTATCTTGCTGAGAAGCTGATTCTGCTGGCTTACATTTCTTTGATTTCTGAAACAACACAAACAGAAATCTGGTAATGTACTGAAAGGATATACAATTCCCAACACGTATTTGAGAGACACACAATTTCATTTAGTAATTTTAACGTTTTACACAGTGGAACTCTTCCTTCCACAATATTGATCCACACTTTTCATATTATTTCTATATGAAAAAATAATTACCTTGGGAATCCTAAAGTTACCTTAAAAAAAAATCGTGTGGGCCAAAACCAAACTGTCTGGACACGGTATTTTGGTTTGTATATTTTGCAGAGGGTGTGTGTGTGTTATCATGATACTCTAAACCCACATGGCAGGTCAGTAAATTGCACGACGTTAAACAGGACACAGTTAACTAATCAATAAAGACATTTTTCAATTAAAAAAAACCCCAGAATAATCCTGCCTCTTATATCTACTTAATTTTATTCAGTTAGTAAAAAATATCCCTCCTGGGTAACTTTCAATTACTGGGCTCTTTGTGGGAGGATTGCTTGGGAACAAAAGACGCAAATAGTTAATCTAAATATTTTAAAAGCATCTGTGGACCAGATTTTCCAAGTCAATTTATGTTTGTCCAGATTAAAAAACACAAAAAAACCAAACAATAGCAACAAGAATCCCATTAGTGGCTTTGATGATATAAACGCCAAGCTGAAAAAAGAAAGATGTATTAGAACAGTCACTGGCGTTATTATCACAAAAGATGACTGTGTATACTTTCAGGATGGTGTAGGTATTTCGAAAAAGCTACACAATATCAAAGAAAATAAATATATTTAAACGTGTTGTAAAAATTAGGAGAACCCGTGCTCTCAAGCACATGATTAATGCTTAGGAAAGAAATCCCATACCACATGTTGCTGCAAAGCTTAGCCAGAAGGTGGTGGCAGAGGGTTACTATTCTAAAGGCAAAATCTGGCTCTCCTGATGTTCTTCAGTGTATATGAAAAACCTCTTTTCAGGGTGCTTCCACCTTTTTTATGGGTGGATTTACAAAGCAAAGTTACCTCTCAGTATCTGGCATCTGAATTATGAGATGTTTGTAAATATATGTATGTATAAAATACATAATAAATACATTATACATATTTCATTATGGGCACATATGACATAGTTGAGCTTGAATAATTTTTTATACTAGTGCTTGCTGCATCTTATGTTTTGTCTTATGGGTATAAAGAAAGGGAGTTTGTGCTTCCTGCTCCAAATACAGTAGGTCCACTCAGACTGCTCCCCTAGCTGAAGGGAGGAGCTGATGCAGAGGTCTGAACAGCAGTTCCATCAGACCCCAAACTAGAAACTGTCTTCTGATACTGGGACTGGAGCTCACAGGCCTCAGATTAGAGCAACTGGTGTCAGTGATAGCAAAGACTAGTTCTAACTGCAAAAAGATCAGCTGGTGCAGAAATGCAAGGTGGTATTGCAAAACCAGATCAGAACTTGAGGATAAATGCAAGATGCCTGCTGAGATCTGCAAATGCTGTACCTGCCTGTATTACCAGTCAGAACTAAACAAACAAAAAATATTTTCATATTGACCCAAGGCATATAGACCCCAAAGACTACAAGCGACTGTGCTGACACCGTAAGAGACAGAATTGCTCAGCACACTCGGGTACTAGTTCTTTGTTGCACAGAAGTTGGGGACAGCACCAGTTTTAAGACTATTTCAGATTATTTGAACAAAGCTATAGATGCTTTGTTAAGGCCACCTTCCTAATGGAAATCGAGTGCAATCAGCCACCGCTTTTGGGGCTGATGATTCATCCACTGAGATTTGCAATATTCTATCCTAAAATGATCTTTAAAATTCTTTCAAACATTTAATTACCAAGTACTGAACACCCTGAAAAAAAAAAAAAAATCTGAAAAAACAGCATGAGATTTATAGCCAGAAGCTATAGGGCACTAAGCACAGAGGCTTTGAACAGAGAGGAAACAGAATAGCAGGATTTCTAACGGTCTCGTTGTATTGCACAGGCCCAGTGATGCTGTATTGGCACAGATGAATAAAGACACTATGATGAGAAGGAATCATATGCTCACTGGTAAGTAAACACGTATTTGTTTCAAAACAATCTAGGAAAACATTTGTATGCCATCTAACCCTACAGGCAGACAAAAATCTTGTGCAGTAATAGGGGTGAGACGATCAACCTTCATCTAAAGTCTCAGTTGCTGAAAGTGTCAGTCAATGATTCATGCTCTTGAGATTCACCTAAATCTGTGTGCACTCTGCACTGAGTCAGCACTGAAGTTTTTGATTGCTTTGTCATCCTCCAAAATAGCAATGTCAGTTCAGAAAAAAAATAGCAATGCTGAAAAGAAGTCCCATGCACAGAACTACTACTACTTCACAGAGTAGTAGCATACAGTAGAGTATGTAAGTATATAGTAGAGCTGCAATTTCATTTATTTCCATAGCATTTTGCCTGGTCAGATTAAAAAAAAAAAAAGAAAAAAGAAAAAGGCAAACACCTCAACAGTATGGTTACCAATAATCAGTCGGGTCTGTAAGAATCACAAAACAAGACAAAATTTCCAAACAGCGTTCTTAAGGAATCAGACCAGGAATCTACATATCCCAATACTGTGTTTCTGACAGTGGCCAGTAGACAATGCTTGGAGGTCAAAAAACTAATAACCTGCCATCAGGAATTATCATATAAAATACAGGGAAGATTTTGTTCATTACTAGAATTAAATAATATACAAGCTCTTCGTTTCAAGAAAAACCTAAAGTATAGCTGGCACACTGTCCATTTCACCCGTAGCATTGAATTGTGTGATTTTCAGGGCACTAGGCACTGCCTGCTAGTCAAGAGAAAGTTTCAGTACATACAACTTCAATATGCTATTAGCAAAATATGCACACAAGCTCATTACTTTTGAAGTAACACCGAAGTGTAACAGAGCTTACAGAACAAATCCTTCCATCTGCATAAAGATTAGCAGACAAAGGTATGCAATCTAAGAGCAGATTGCATTACAGACAAGAATTCTTTCAATTTTGTTTTAAACAATGCATAAAAATATTACCTTTTCCAATTTACTTTTAAGTCTTCTATCCTCCATCCTCTTCTTCAATACTTCCACATCTTCTTTATTACCATTAAGGATAATCACATCTTCCTCTTGAAAGGGAACACCACACTTCAAGAAAAAAAAAAAAAGAGGACAAAACTAGTGTTATTTTCAAGATCTTTATGCTGGTGAACCTTTGTTAGAATTAATACTGTGTTTAAGCTCTCCAATCCTTCCCCTTGCTTCTACATCTTTCCCAATAATTCTTTTTCTTTTAATACAGTATAATACATCTTCTCACTGACAGCATCCCTCTTCACAAAAAGGAGCATAAATACTCATCTTACTAGTGAATCATGGACTTCTGATAAACACATTTAAAAGCAGCTCACATACCAGTCTGCACAGCAGATTGTAAAAGAATTTCAGAAATATTAAAATAAAATTCAGGAATATTAAAATATTCCATGCAATAGGGATCTGGAAATTGTGTATTTATTTCACTACCAGTCCCTTATAAACAACACTCTTAACTAATTTCTTTTTTTTTAAAGAAAAGGTCCCATTGTGTATTTTCTGTTCATGTGTTCCTTGTTTTACTAGCATAAAATGTACAATGACTAAACAAAGTGGTCCTAACTAGAATCTACTGATGTTTCTGAACACCACAGCTAAGCCAAAACATTAAAGTACTTTCTGATTGTTTTTAGTCATGAATGCATTTGATTAAGATCTAAGCATTATGCTGTTCTGCTCTAGAATCTGTCTTCCAACTTACTTAGAAGCAGTTCCTTTACACTGACTAGGAACACCACCAAAGGTGTTATTCCTCTACATGCAGTACAGACAGCACCAGGGAATTTTTCCCTCCATCAGAGATAGAAAAATTTGGTATGGGATTTTTTTTTAAATTGTTTTTAAATTTTTTTACATTACTATGGGGATAAAAAGGAATCATAAAAGCAGCATTATTCATTAACCCAGCCTTGTCATCTCATTGTCCTGCTATTAAAGTTTCAAAGTACATTTCTAAATTAATCTGGATAATGCATGTAACGTGCGTCATGTAATTCCGTATTTGTTTTCTGGTTCAAGATAAAGATGTTTCACTGTGCACTTTGTCAGTCATTTGGTGAAGTCAGCACACTGATTATGGATGTTTCCCTTCTCAGATCTCCATTTCCATTTTTTTTTTGTTATTTTGTTAAATGCAGAAGATTTCTGTCAATCTGCAGGATTAGTTTATAATCCTGCCTCTGTCATTACTCTTCTGTTTTCTAAACAACCGTTTAGAAAGGTTACTCAGGTATTTGCAGTAGGAATTAAACAAATGAAAGGACACATGGGACAGTATGACTAGAGTCTGTTCAAGTGATGAACAGAGTTTAAAAAATGAACCTGAACACAAGCAGTCAGATTGATTATGAAAGAGAAGCAAGGGCTACAGAGATGCATATTATGTAAATCCGGCAGAATAATAAATCACACACAAGAAATGGGTGAGTAGCCCAGATTTTCCCATTGCTGCTCAATGAGCTAGTGTTAGAAATACCAGCTTGGTGTGATCTCAGACACTTGTGAGTGAGAAGTCTAGAAAACCAAGACAGACGATCAGTCTTCATCCCGAGGGAGGAGCGACTGGCAGCTGTCTTGATTCTAAAGAAGCCCTACACATTCATGTCTAGTGGGGTGTTTTCTGAATACAGCATGGAAGACTGGCACTCTCCGAGGCAAGTGATTTAAAAAGTAATTTCTGCAATGATTTTTTTAAAACATATTCTGTTAAGCATACAAAAATAAGCGGACATTTTCTCAAAGTAAAAGTTTATATCAAAGGACTCCAATAAATGCTGCCTTTTGAAAAAGCAAGCAAATCCAGGTTCCCATCTGGAAAACACAGGTGGAACTGTTCTAAAATTAAAAGTATTAACAAGAAACAAGGAAATAAAAGACAGTGTCATCTTTCCACTCACTGAAACTGGTTAATTTTTTTGCCATGACAACAGCCAGGTTGTATTACAGAGACCATACCCTTCCAAACACACTGAAGTGCAGCAAGTTATAGGCATAGAACCAACTCCACAGTGGGTACGATTTGTTGTTGCATCATACATGTTCAAATATTTTTAAATTGTCACTACTGTTGGATGCAAACGTTTAATTCTCATTTTTTTTTAAAAAGCAGCTCACTATTGCTTCATGCATAAAAAGGAAAGATTTTTATCTCGACATTTTGTCGAGATAAAAAGCAGAACACAATTTCAGTCTTGCAAATTCAGAAAGACCGTTCCTTCAGATGAAGGTCTTCTGGGGCAGATGTTTGTTTTATGGTATCACACGGTCTCCCTTGCTGTAACTTATTTGTATTGGGACTTTAAATACATACGAAGGTATTTGCTGCAGTTCCTTGATGTTTTTGCAGCACCTCGAATAGAAGACATTCCTAAATGAGACTGAACTTGAAAATTATTCTGAAATGGACAAAAGCATTACAACAGCAGCTTGCAGATCCGAATGCAAGATTCAATCTGTAATTGAAGAAGAGTTGGACGTTAACTGAAATAGATGCCGACCAAGCAGCATAATTTTTGTCTAAAAGCTCTTTCAGGGTCCAATTATAAAAGCGTGTTCAAAACTGTTTCTATCTAAATGGCTTAACACGCTTGTATGAAAGCAATTATTTAAAGGGTGTGCAGGTACGATTAAAAAAGTCTTCAAAGTCTGATACTTGCAAATTTACATACCCTACATACCCCATGGGTATGTACATACACATACACACACACACAATCACCTTTACAATAAAACAAAAAACCCCAACCCAACCCAACGACTTAAAATGATAAGAACAATAAAGGTATTATGTGTTATAAAAGACGTTAGTTTAGGCATAATCTTTTAAACTTAAACTAGTTAAAGAAACAGAGAAATTACTTTTTTAAAAAATGAAATCCTTCTGAATTTCAAGTTAATATGATAGGATAGTATCTTATTTTTGAGAATAAAATACAAGAGGATTTATTTAGTAATAATGAAATCGTGGTTTAAGGCGATTGCCTGAATTCTCACATTTACAGTTTCTTCATAAGTTTCAGCTATATAAGACAATGGTTGTACCTTACTTTTTGCTGTAAACTGCTTTTGACGGGGACTTTTTTTTTTTGTGTGTGTGTGTGCAGCATCTAAGAGGTAGTTCCATCCATGACTCCTCCAGTCATGATATAATACAAATAAACAACAGGCAAATATGTTTTCATATCTAAATGCTTACATCAATGTTACAGTTTAATGTCTTACAGGAAACCTGATAGCTCTTTCACAAATTATAAATAGTAAGCTAATTCCTGCAGTTCACCCAAATATGACCATTACCAGGAAATGCACAGGTATGAATACTTTCCCAAAACAATTCCCACCAGATTATGAAACCTGTATGACCACAACCCGACTGTCCCTCTTTAAACAGGGTAGTACTCAGAAAAAGGATTGAACAGACATCCTATTGAACCAAGGACCATATCACTCTTCATTTACCAGCCACGCAAGCTCATGTATTGTCTCTTGTAACAGTTAACTAAAACCATGGTTTGAGATAACCCTTCCAGAGATTTATTCATTAGAAGCTCAGTAGTGTAAGATCTGATGAACACAATTTTTGACATTGCCACCCCACTCAGACATACAATGGGTCAAACAGTAAAGAGTGGAAAGTCTCCTACATACTAATTCACAGGCTGAACTTTCAGTAGTTGTAGCACCTACTAAAAAACCCACTGTCCAATTAGAAGCCTCTATTTAAAGAGTTTCCCTTGAAGTCAGTGATAATTTTTTATCAGCCATACCTGCAGCTGTGCCTTAGTTTACTCTGAGGTTTTCTTTCTATGTATTTCTAACCAAGATGCTATTTTTATCTGAACATGTCAAAAATATACAAGCCTTCTTACTCGTTTCTAGAACCCCAAAGCTTCCTAATTCCAGTAAATTTACGCTGCTAACTTTTCACTTATTAAAAACCCCAAGAACCTTTATAAAAGTAGTAGCACAGTAAACATCCAGTTTCGGGAGGTATTTAATTTATCTTTTAAGCTGCCTGCTATTAAAAATGACCAGAGGCAATTCTTTGCTATTCTTGCTGCACACTGGAAAGTTTCAGCAGGCAAACAGTTAAGAACTGGAGGAGGAGGAGAGGGTTCGTTTCCTTTCCAGTTCTCATCATCCAGCATGCTGCCTTAGCAGTGCAGAGGTTAAAGCCTCTGAGGTAAAGCAATACTATTTATAATCATCAGCAATGTACTCTACATATTTGAAAGTCTGATTTCAGTCCTTTAAAGGCTGTCTCAGAAAGAGTGGCAACAGAATTTGGAGAAGCTCAAGTTTTCTCTCATTATTGTGAAGCAGAGGACATTTCTGAAGCCAAACAGCACTACTGCAGAATAAATATGCTAAGCATTGCGGGAAGCCAGATGAAGTCCTAAATGAAAACATTCACGTTAATATTTAACCCCTTTCACTTACACGAGATCTCCACACAAGCAACAGAATGAAGAATGCTGTCTGAATTCTGCTGAAGGACAATGGGACTCTCTATTTATTTTTATTATGCTGCCGTCTCCTGGCTAATTTTGTCCAAGGTAAGACTCAATAAATTAGATTGTAGGACTTGAGGTTTTTGCTTTGACTTTATTAAAACGTAACACACTTTCATTTTTGTAAAGTAACAAGTATTTTCACTTCGGAAAGTCCATTTAACTTAAAAATAATCAAATCTGCAATAAGGTTAATTTTTTTCTTTTTTACTTTGTCACAGATGTACGGTAGGCTGGAGGTCACTACTACTGTTGTATTATAAAAATCATAATACTAGTTGTTATGTTCTGTTGCAAACAACTTAATTTTTTTACAGCCCTATAACATAAGGGTTTAAATAGCTTTCATAGTATTTGTTTTAGATTGTTATGAAGTCAAAATACACAAGGAAAAAACCTGTGTACAGGAAAACCAGAAAACAATAGCAAAGGTGAACTGTTAAACCTCCACAGATCTGTTGAATATGTATCAGTAAATGCCAATGAAATATTTTAAAGTAAGAATGCTTTAAAATTTCTAAGGCACTGTGTTTGACAAAGAAATTTTTTCTTTTACTTGATGCATGTCACAACACAGAAGCAGAATCATACTTACCCAGGCTTAAGCAAAAAGCAAAGTAAAAAGCAGTTAAAAGCGCTGATTTTAACATTAAGTTTTTAAAAGACTGAATTAGCATTCACTTGTTTACAAATTGTCTACACTAATGCCTGCATAAACACCTTTCAGACAAAAAAAACAGACATGAAAAGATTTGGAAATAAGGAGTTAATGTAACCATTTTATTAGAAGATGGAATATTCCCAGGTCATACAAACTAAATTTTAGCTAAACTTTATTAGCAAATACAAAGAGTACAGACAAAAGAGAATATTTAGAGGTGCAGCGATGCAGTCCAAAATCCTACCGCAGGAAGAAACAGTGAATTGTGAAATGATTTGTTACTATGAAATACACAGCAAAGTATACAGCTAATGGGCTCTTGCTGAACCGAGATGATATTTCACAGGGTTGTTTTCAGGCATAAACATAATTCCAGTCTTCTCTAGAGTTTACCTTTTTAACTGAGATGGAGGAGCTTTGGCTTACAACAATTTTCTGTTAATATCCATAAAAGAAGCCACAAGGTGCTTGAAAATCCCTGCAGACAGGCTGATCCTTGAAGAATGTCAAACACTACTCTCAGCACTTCTGAAAATTAAGACAATGGCATCCTCCAAATTTAGAAAACCTACCCACAGAAAAGGTTCGGTTTCAGAGAGCCATTCTGCTAACAATAAATACCTGTAATGGCACTCTTGTGTAATAAAACCAAAAATCTAAGATAGTCACAAACTGGGGTATGCCTGGACAGTGAATCTTCTCAGCAGTATGACATCTTGCTCTTCAAGGGCAGGAGAAAATACAGTAGCATAGTCCTTGACAGCAGATAGTAGCACAGGGGCTAGAGGATTCTTCTAAGTGGCAAATTTCATACACGATGGGACTAACACCTGCAACTGTAGCTCTAAATCTGGTAGAACACGAACAGGAGGTCAGTGCTTTCATTCTATAATATACCCTGAAGCTGGAAGACGTCAAATTCTCTTCTCATAGACAAGGCTTCAACATTTAGTCAGTCCCCAGAAAAAAACCTGTTAATGCTGGAGAAGGAAACTGTTTATTCTTATCTGATAGTGGGGTGTTTGTATACTTTTATGCTGCCATATAAAATATAGCTTCTAGATGCCACAGAGTTCAGTAGGAAAAATCCATAGTAAACACTTAACCTGAAACATCCCTGGAAGCTATTATTTGAAGGGTAATATGAAACAAACAGGTTATAGCTTGGTTCCCTAGGGAACTATCCTTTGCAACCTGTCCACAAAGATATATTTAAGGAAAAAACATAGTAAGTGTGCACGTATAAAGTCCCAAACATTTCTAGAGCTGCCCAGTGTCTTCAGTGTAATTCTTATGTCCAGAATGAACCTTCCCTGTGACCTATCATTGAGATCTCATCACATTTACTGATTCAGAGCAACCTTAACGCTCCTCCTGTAATTATTCGCCCAGAATAACAGTTTTTCTGACTCCAGGTCTGCAAAAATCACTGCCTCCCTAACAGATACTCCCTCTCCCCAGCTTCTGCTATTGGGCACGTAATGGCCCTTATGCAAATCTATTCCCAGCCCTGGTAGTCAGCTGGTAGTAGGCTACAGCACTGGCGTATTTCATTTTTACTGCGAAAACTCTGGCTTTCACCTTTCAGCGGCATTCCTTTTCTCCTCCTTTCTGCACAATATTGAAAGCTTGACATGGATTTGATTTGCTGAAGTTTTTTTGTTCGAATGGATGAAAGACTCACATCAAGCTTGTTTACCCAGTAAATGTATCCCTTAGGAGCTGTGACGAAAAAAATACTCTCCTGGGATCTGATTTCCTAATGTTTTTCTTTGGCCTATGCATTCAATGCAGACTGAAGAGCACTGCTGACAGAACATACAAGCAAAATGGATGAACCCTCCACCTAACATACAACACCACTTTTTGGAATGCGAAGAGGAAAAGCGGCATTCTTCCTGCATGAAATCCAGTGCATACCAGTAAGGACAATAAGATAAATACATTCCTTCCCAAAGGCCTAATAAGATTTTTAAATTGTGGTAATATAAAGTACCCATTCTCTTGGTTCAAATTCTGTACTCTTAATGCTGTTTAAATTCTATGCCTCATTTCTACTTTAACTACAATGCCCTCTTTATTTTCAAGCGTCTAAGACAGATGTATACTGAGTTTTCATTTAAAAAGTTCTCTAATGAAAACCTAGAGCCTTCTAACCACAATAGCGTTCCTATAAAGAAGCTACCTTTACAAAAATATGCTTTTTCTCTGTTCCTATGTAAAACCAAATATACTATGATGTTGACAGATGCAAAGTGTGAAATATCTGAAGGTGAAATATAAATTTTGTTAAAAACAAATTAATTGAAACAAAAATAAGAGAAAAATAATTAAAATAAACCCTTTCTTAATTTAACTATTAAGCTTAATGGCAGTTGATAGACCTTTCTCCTACCCCTAGTATTTTTTCTAGGATGTTATATACCAGATGCTTCAAGGATAAAGACTTAATATAATTGCTGTGGGATTCAGGACTGTTGCACTCATTCTGCTGACTTTTCAATGAGGTATATATAAGAAAAAAAAAAAATCACAATGGAAAAACTCCTGTGCCAATACTGATCTAAATTACACAGTTATCTCTGAATGCTAATACCGGCAGCAGTGTATTTATCTCAGGATATGCACATATGCTAAAAATAAGAAATGAGCTTTGTCCACATGTTCTGTTTTCCAAAGCACTAATATAAAGATGTCAGAGGAAAAAAAAAAAAATCTCTCTAAAACACTCAGAAACACTTCCTGACTTTATAAGGATAAAACCCAGTGTATTCTGTGGATTATGTTTTGTTTAATAATTTCCCTGCTTATTTAATTTACTGAATTCTGGTCCTCTGTCAGAACTTAAGGTTTCCCAGGCCTTAAGGAAATCTCAGCTGTCCCTCAGCACACAGTGCTCACACATCTTCCCTGTTCCAAAACTAGACCTTGACCAAGCACTGGACTCACCTACTGACACATACATTGCCTCAAAGTATAAGCAACTTCTATCCGATGGACTAGACACCCCCCCCCCTTGTTCAAGTAATACAGGGTACAAAGTCATTCTGGGTTCTCTGGATAATTTTATTTGCCCTAGAAAGCCTGCTTCATGGCTCTGCAAGTACCATTTCCAGTGGCTGAGTACTCTGTGGCATGAGCATGGGCACAGAGTTCCTCCTAGTAACTGGAAAGAGAGTACTCAACATTTATAAATGCATCACTAACATGTCATCTATTAAAAAAAAAAAAAAATCAAAAAGGTTGTCTCCATGTCTTTATCTCCCTTTTCCTTTCAGATAATCTGAACGCTTAATTAAACTATGATAAGACGACAGTATCTGGAAAATAAAAGATGAACCCACTTGATGCAACAAAATCAGGATTTTTAGCGTGCATTGCTGTCTGTCTGTTCATCTACACTTTTATCTACCTAAAGGATACACTTTCTGAAGAGCCAAATGAACAAAAATTTGATGAAAATATAGTAGAGTGTGGTTTTTACCCAGATGAACTTTGTTCAGCTCTTTTTGTGGGGAAAACTGCTGCCTTTAAAATTGGAAACTTCTGTCAGAGCACCTATCAACCTAAAACACTCAGCTGCGTTCAGACTTCGTGCAACTGCTCCATGGTTTTGAAGACTCTGCATTTTATCACAAGACCACTCTCAGATGAAGAAGGAAATTTCTCATTGGCATACATTATCACAATTCACAAGGAGCTAGAAATGTTTGTAAAGTTGCTAAGAGCTATTTATATGCCTCAGAATATTTACTGCATACATGTTGATGAAAAGTCACCACAAGATTATAAAGCTGCTGTACAAAACATCGTTAATTGCTTTGAAAATATTTTTATTTCCTCAAAAAGAGAAAATGTTGTTTATGCAGGATTTTCAAGATTACAAGCTGATATTAATTGCATGAGAGATCTAGTTCATTCCAAAATTCAGTGGAATTACGTTATTAATCTATGTGGTCAAGATTATCCCATTAAAACAAATAAAGACATTATACAATACATCAAAAGTAAATGGAATGGTAAAAATATGACTCCTGGGGTAGTCCAACCACTTCATATGAAACACAGGACACAGGTTAGTTACAGAGAATATGTTCATTCTGGAATGTCGTATGTGTATCCAACAAAGAATATAAAAGCTAAACCTCCATATAATTTGACAATATATTTTGGTAGTGCCTATTACATACTTACTAAAGAATTTGTAGAGTTTACATTGACTGATGCACGTGCAAAAGATTTGCTTGAATGGTCGAGAGACACGTACAGTCCGGATGAACACTACTGGGTCACACTGAACCGTTTAAATGGTAAGATGTATGTTATTTCTACTGTGAATAACCCCTGGATCAATAGCATTGTAAGGTCTCTGACATGGAGAGCTGGTGAGCTCCAATTCAGAGCTTAACAATATCACTTGCGTTGCGTTGCATAACTATGGTAATTTCTCCAGCCTTGATGCTGCCCTTTCAAAAAGTCACATCTCCCGATGGCTGAGAAACGAAAGCTTGATTCCAGAAAAGTACTACTTACGGTGCAGACCATTAGCTACAAGGCTAGAAAAATGTTGCTTAAAATTTTTTTGCCACATGAAAGCTCATGCTCTCAAGGAATAAAAAAAAAAGCAGTAAAACTGAGAATTGTCTGTTCTCATGATATAAATATCTGTAGATAAATACTTAATGTGGCTACATTTAAAAAGTCCTCAGCAGTGAGAATTTTCCCTGTAATAATTAGAAAAAAATCTTACCAGAACCATATGTTTTTAAAGATGCTCCAGGGGCTACACCCAATGCAGACTGGGAAGGAAACATACGAGCCATTAAATGGAAAGATCAAGACGGAACCATACACAAAGGCTGCAAAGGTAATGTGGATTTTGATCATGAACTCAAACTTCTGACCAGCATCCATTGCACATTACATATTAAGCTTTAAACTACCTATTAAATGCGCCTCGGTGGTCATATATATTTTATTTTGGAAGTACCAAATAAAACAGAAAGCCACCCTGCTAAATTACTCCTCTGTATCCAATCTAAATAGCTTCTGATACATTCCTGCCAAGATTGTCACAGTACCCATATACTGATAACCATTCTTTCAACCTCCAATTACCAATGCATTGACTTGACTGATCAGTTTTCAGTGTAGAGTAAGGCGTTTAACTTGACTAGCATGTTTGTTAGGTATTTTCATCAACACTAGGTTAAATCTTTTCCATTTGAACAAAAATGAAAAAGGAAAATAGTGCTGACCACACAGAAAATACTTAAAATATGTAACTGTACAAACCCAGCACAGTGAAGTACTGCATGAGAGTGATAATATTTTTTTTTTAAAAAATGAGTCTGTTCAGCTTTCTGCTACTTACAGATACCTTCAATTTGTCTTTGCAGGTCATTACATCAGAGACATTTGTGTCTACGGACTAGGGGATTTACAGTGGATTATTGAGTCACCTCATTTGTTTGCCAACAAATTTGAGCCTGCAACATATCCCCTTGTTATGGACTGCCTAGAGAGACGCTACAGGCTTAAAGTACTGCTCCAGGCAGAAGTCCCGATTGAAGATCACTGGCGTTTTCAGGAAGCGAACTACTTCAACATGAAGCTGAATGTTTAACTAACATCTAAACAAGTGTTCAAAATACTGATAGAAACCATTATCATTTTTAGCTATAGACTCCACTTCGTGCATTACAGCATGAGGGTAAGCACAATACTGTACTACCAGTCTGCCAGTGAAATTTATTTATTACAGTAAGATAAAGAGCAACAACTGCTAATGGGTTAATTCTCAAAGCAAACGACGTTTAAATCTGTAACTTACTGAAGAAATGGGGGAAGTTCATCATCCTTTAAGTGACATTTAACTGGAAAAATACCTATTCCTCAGGTCTGCAGCCAAAAAAAGGACTGATTGGTAGGAAAATAATAAAATGGAAGCAATGACTGAACAAAGATAAAATATGAAGAGCACAAGCTAATTAAAGTCATGTCTACTGTATGTTTCATGAATTATTTTGAATAATAATGTTCACACTAAAATATCAGAGCTTGTAGATAAGCAAGTGAAAACCAGTTTCAGATACAGTCCATTTCACTGTCCTTTTTTTTTTCTCCCCATGGCCAGCTGCATCTCTAATTTCATTGTGTAGCATGGCAACATCACTCTTGCACGACTCAGGCTTTGCTCCTAATGAAAAGGGTATGTGTGCCAGTAACAGTGGTAGGGATCCTGCAATGTATGTTCACCTTTAAGTCCCTGTTTCTGAGTCTCTGCAGGAGTTTAGGGCCAAGGAACAAAGGAAAACTGAGTGAGAAGCCAACTTTCAATCCCAGTATACTTGATTGAGCAAAACAAAACTTCCCTGAACCTTGCAATCAGAGTTAACACCTAGCAGCACCAGGACAAGCATCTCATTTCTCAAACCCTCTGCAGACCAAATGCAGCACTTGCTGATAAGGAAGTGGCTTTCAACACACAACACAGGTAAAACCAGGGAACAGTAATAAAAAAAGAACAAGGATCCAGCCCTTTTCCAGTCAAGAGCTGCTTCTTCCTCTTCAGGACTCTTTAAATTTACAAGCTTACTTGTTTATAAACTACAAATTATAAATAAATGTCTAGGAGCAATTTCCATGTAAGCTTCAACATGTACCTAAAATATAATTGTTTTTACAAGAAAACTGACTTTCAGATTAAACATTCTTCCAGAAAAATCAAATGAATCAACATAACAACCCAACAATAGAACACGAAAGTTTCTTACTACAAACTTATTCCCAGGTTTCTGTACTGCTTATTTTCCCACATGAGTTTCTTGGAATCCTAATTTCTTTCAAATTAACTTTAACCAAAGAAAGACCATCTGGCCCCTATTTATTTACAGAAACTTACAAACTCAATCCAAAGGCCTGTACTCAGTTTCTTGTATAATCCAGGATTTATCTTGTGGCTAAATATTGTGGGAGATGCTTTTTTATTGAAGAAAACAAAGAAAAAAAAAAAAAAGGCAGCCATGCAACATGTTTATACTGAGCTTGTTGAGAGTCCCTCTGAAAACCATTACTGAAACTAATGGGCCTCTGGCATTTATTAATCATAGCAATATTCATAATTAATTTCTCTCCAAACCACACCCAGTCTGCTGCAGGGCACTGCCAGCACTTACCCACTTCATGTTGTCTTTTAAAACGTGAACGGAACGTATCTTTTTACCATCACTCCAGCAAATCCAGTATCCTGCTTTCACCTTTTGTCACCATCACAAAGAACAATCGTTCTGTATCACTTCTGAATTGAATTAAAATGATAAATCCAATAGCAAGGCACTATATAGCATGGGCTTGTTTGCAGAAACTGAACTACTTAAACTGGGAAAAAAAATATTTGCATAAAAATCCCTTTTAAAATATAATTTAGGTATGGCTTTACCCATGTCAATCCAGGAGTATCACTGAAGTGTGATCCTCCTTCCTTAAAGGTTTTAGTATTTTAAACAAAGTGTTCATATGTGTAAAACTCCCAGGAAAATTGTAATTAAACCAAGCCATTCTCAATCATTAAGAAACAGTATTCCACTTGTTATTCTGAGTGGCCATAACCACATAATATTATTAAAGGATTTTTTACTTCTAATAATGGTAAAAAATTAAGTAAAAAAGCTGAGATCATTTAAACATACACAAAAAGTGTTCATTACGTTCTGTATGCATTATGAGTAGATTGATCACAACTTTTAGGTCTCAACAACCAGTGTTTACGAACTTTTGGTGACTGCTGATCTAAGAGCTTATAGTGTCAATGTGACCTTGTTCAAGGAAAGACTTTGCTCTATAACATACTGCACACACATTAACTCTGTATCTGGAAGATGTATGCATAATTTCTATTTCAAAAAGCCCGAGGCACATGTTCAATAGCTCTATATCCAAGTTAAACATTTGATTAAGTGTTTTATATGTCAGACTTTACTAGTTAGGGTGTGTATTAGTCTGTTGACTCTGAAAACAACTGCAAAATAAATTTTGAAGTGATACAAGAAATTACATTTTAAAATGTAATCTTGTCCTTAACTTCCAGAGTGACTGCCTGAACTCCCAGAAGGACTTCCACCACAGATTCAATAACCACTATGCTGACTCCAAACTACATCTAGCATACTGTTACACCAATAGTAACTTCTTAGACAGAAGAGTCAACATCAAATACTGACAGTGGTGCCTTTTTCAATCCCCTAAAAGTGAGGTAAAGAGACACTATACACTGCTAGGTATTATTTTATTCCATCATTTCCAAAACCATCATTTTTGTCAAATAGCAGACTTCCAAACAAGAAGGCACCAAAGATTGCCCATGCAAGAATCCAAGTTTGGATAAGCCAGTAAGAAGTTCCAATCACTTTGGGCCCCACCAAAACCTACAGACCAACACACCTTAGCACTAATCTACAATCGTCAAGAACCCACCAAGTACAACAACAGTGAGTAGAAAGTCTTGCTTGTTCTTTTAATTTTAGTAGTCTGTTGGAGAATCGATCACAACAAAGAATGAGAACATCCTACTCAAAAGCGCAAATTTTAAACTGACAATTTTCATGTCACATATTCTTCCAAACCAGGAAGCAGGAAGAAGCAGAAACCTCCTGATCTTCAGGGCTTCTGCTACAGAATACAAATCACCAAACTCCATTATCTGGAAGCAAAGTTGTTTCTCTTCCTGCTGATTGAGTCCCATCCTGAACATTTTAGTATGTGACTTAGTACTGATAGGTTAAATTTTCTTTCTCACTATAAAAAAACCTCAAAAATACGGCTCAACCAAAATAAACTTCTGTGTACAAAGGTATTATAACCTTAATTTGTAAGTTGCTCTGCTTTAGACAAAGCTCTTTTCCAACTCTTTTCAGTCTAAATAGTTAGAAGATTCAAAATTTGTCCCAAGAACTTCATCCAACAAGCTTGCTCCCCAACATAAACCACCACTAAAATATTCTCACTGCTCTTTCAAAACAAATTTCTGGCCAGGAAGTTTTATATTTTGACAAGACAGTTCAAAGCACTTACCATTCAGGCAATGAGAGACAACCTCTCTCTCAACACTGCTAGTGTTTGCTTACCGTGCAAGTTTTCACATTTTAATGTTATTTTTTTAACTTGACTCCTTCAGTGTACTTCTACTTAAGATGTGAAGCAAGAAAGAACAGTTTACTTCCAAGGGAGGTAAGTCACTTTACAGTTGCTTACTAAAAGTCCTCCATCCAAGACAGTTTCCTCTCACATTCTTCCACCCTTCCTTAGCATCAATACAGTCTTTTTAACAATTCCAGTAAAAGCAGATGTATTTAACATTATCAGCTCTTCATATAAAGTTTTTATTGAGGCAAAATATATTTTTTTGAAAAAGAACTCTTGTAGAATGACTGCTTCACTCTCCCTGTACCTAGACTCCATAAAGCCTTTCAAATCTACTACTACAGCAAATACTGTTGAGCTAAAGCAAGGAACGCTGAATTCTTCATCTTGGCATTTTTCGTTTCCTTGAATTAAACAAAATCTGCATATGCATTCATTTTTTCCCTAAATACATTTCATGATCTGCGTATCACTGGGCAAACAGATTGCTTTATTTCTTGTATGAGCTGCCACAATAAAAAATTAGAAGAAAACTGAGCAGTGAGACAGCTGTCCATGGGACTTCCCACAAAGTGGTAAGCATTCCCGTAAGCCAAGCTAGAAGGCCTGGAAAGGAAGCAAAACTCTGCTCTGAGCACAGGAAAGAATTTCCTACAGTTTCATGAAGCACAACATTTTATGATATACGTCTTGTAGCACATAAATACACGCTCATTATCTAGTTCAGATGATCTAGTTTAAAGAATATGAGTGTGAAGGTGAGGACTGCAGAAGTGTTGTTTGGTCTCCTGAATATCTGTATTCTCTGGTGAATGTTTTCACTGCATCATTACAGCATCTGTTTGACAAAGTCCTTTGGGAAACCGTTGCTGTTTACAATTTAGCAGACTATCAAGAATGCTCTGTAGGCTCACAGGCAACATTAATGCACAAGAATAGCTTGTTTTGAAAGAGCTTTCTTGAATTTCACAGTACTGCAGAAGAGAACTGCCACACAGCTCCTAGACTGACACTTCTCCAGTCTACATCCATGCTATAAACCTCATCCCCTGAGATGAGATTCTGCTAGCTGAAAAAAAGAGACTGGATACACAGCATAAACAAGCAAATACAGGATTATTCTTTTTGAACTGCTCTCATCATGTCACCCTCTGAAGTCACACAACAACTCCTCTGCACAGACATGGAGGGGGCACACAGGGTTGGGCATCTGGGCACATACTTGCAGACAGAAGTTGGCAATGTCATGAAAAAAATTCTGTGGCTCATATGGATCCCATAGGTTGGATTTTGGTTCAAAAACCGTACTGTAATTCTTAAAATACAGCAGTTAGCACCAGTAGAAATAGTATAAATATATATTTTAATAGAAATAGTGTAATATGGCAATCCACAGCATTCAAACATTCTGTACTTCAGATATTTTTTGCATTTTGAAATAACACATATAAGAGGAGGATTCTATTTATTAATAAACAATTTCTAATCAGAGCATATGTACAATATACAACACTTAATTTTCTTCCTTCTTCATTAGTTCTAGTTAATTTTACTATATGCCCCATTGCTCCATAAAGATAGAATGTGCTAGGGGGAATGCTGTTAGTTAATGCTTTGGATATAAACAAATTTAGCTACAAGAAAGTGTGGTAACCAGTTCCCTGTGATCTTATTTAGAATAGTTCTGGTCCCCTTCTTGATTCTGAATGCAAAACAGGAACATTACCAGTATATATCCAAAAATCTACCAAATCACTCTCTGACCTGAATCAAAGGAAATGTGGACTAAAACATGTTCTCCCAGCTGGTTGCCATGGTCTTTGTGCACCAAAATCCAACAATGAAAAGATGACAGACTAGATTATATTATATTCACTTCATGACTTCTAGAAGCATCCTTCTGAATATTCTGAAGAATTCACATGTATGTGGAAACAGTTGCATGCAAATATGAGGCTATGACAAATACTGATTATGAAAAATCCAGAAAACATGGGATTTAGTTTTTATAAGATTATCAGACTGGCCAAACCACAGACAGAACAACTCATTCCTGCATTTAATTATCAAGTTACATCCATCTATCAACAGAATTTTAGACACAAACAAAAAAACCTCATTAAAAATAAATTAGTATCTGCCAACAGGAAAGCGGAGCTATTAGGACTAAACCAGCATTCTATAGAACAAAATTAGCTTTGAATGCAGCAATATGAGGCTAAACCCAACTAACAATATTCCACACCACCTGCAACAACTTAGCAAGAAACTTTTTCCTTCACAAGTCTTGTTTTGTGCAAATATACTGTTGTTTTATCAAATACCAGAGTATTTGCTGAAACATAACTCTGTCTAAATGTGGCAACTATCACCACAAATCTCACTGATAATAAAATCAGTGATAGGAAAAAAAGAGAGTATTTGCAACTTTTATCATTGCCCCTAACAATAAAGAAACCGATATAATGAGACTAAACTAGCACTGTAAAATGAAATGCAGTCAGTGTTTTCTACAATAATTCATGTAATTGCTGAAAATTCTATGAAGAGTTGCCCAAAAATACAACAGAAAATGTCCTTTAAAAATACAGCGATCAAAACATAACCTAAAAATGTAATCAGTTTAAACATAAAGCAGACACTGATAAAACATAAACCACATGCATTCAGGAAAAAAAAAATCCAACCAAACCAAACAACACCCCAAACCAAAACCAATCACCCTTTCTGAAACAGAAGTGATAACCAAATAGTTGAAAAACTTAAATTTCTAAAGTAGTTATTGCAAAATCAAACTGTCTGAGAACAAAAATGTTCATTTTATACCTACTTAGAAATACATTTTTATTAAAAAAGGCCATGTAGAATTATTTCAGGCCATCATAAAACAGAACTTTTACAAGTTCCATTTCAATCTGCATATTCAGATAAAAAACCCTACTTCACAACAGTGGATATGAATGCAACTGTATATATGTACACACAAGCATGTACCTATATCTCGATCTGTCAAGGTCACATGTGACTCCACTGCTACTAAAGCTGAAGAAAAACTCACCTTGTGACAAACTTCTGATTTAATTTCCTTGAGAGCACGTTCAGAGAACACACAGCCACAGTTTCTCAAGAAGCAAAACCTTCAAAGAAAAGACATACAGTTATTTTTAAGAAACCCTGTGTCTCAAAGATATATGTGCAGTTTTTATTTAACACAGAAGCAACACTACAATGGCCTAGCAGGACACAGCTAACTTTATAAATTTTTGCAGCTAATCAAGGTATCAGCACCTTTAAGTAGACACTTACTAATTTGTACAGTGTAAGAACTGAATGAAAAATATTGGGTACATTAAACCACAACACTTTGTTATTTCATTCAGCACAGGTATATGACAATCTTTCAAGGGGATCTTAGTAAAACAAACTCTTGAGATGTTGTTGTACATTTGCTATAGGTCTACACAGGCTTCTCTGGAATCACCATGACTATCTGTTTTACTACAAAGTTATCCTATTTGAATGCTTCCACCTAGCTTACTGGTTTCACTTTATCCTGACTCAAGCTCTCACAAGTGACCCTCGCCAAGGTCTGTTCTCTCATGTCTCTCCTGTCCATGTGGAAGATTCCTGCAAAACTGTGTGAAGCAATTATGCACACAGCTCATGTGACCCCCTTTCCTGAGAGCTATGTTCCCGAGAGCTTAATCCCTTCCTCTCTATTACACTCAACTGAATTAAAAAATATGAAGGTGGCTCTGATAGAAACGGTTTTACTTTCCAGGTTCTCTCTTTAATTCCACCTGAGTGTCTCCTGGCTAATTACTCTCTGGAAGAAGAAATACTTTGCAACTATCAAGCAGTGATCCTGGCCTCTTCTCACTCATCAAGGTTAACATGCAGAGAAAAAAGAAATTGCTAATTTGCCCAAATCAGGATGCAAAGAAATGTCCATCCTCGGCCCAATAAAAATAGATACTACTGCATGATTAGAATCGACCGACAACCCATTTCTATTCTGATCCTAACACAGGGATAGGTAGAATTGCTTGATGTGACACAAACGGAGGTCTCATCCAATCTCCCTCTGCTTGCCCATACCAACCTCCTGTGGTTTAGCCCCCAAACAACTTACAAAATCCAGAAATTTACTGACCTATGTCTTCCATTCATTTCCAATCCCACCACAGGGCATATAAAGCGTGCAGACTGAAGGTCATCATATTTGTCCCCTTTTATACTCTCTTTATCACCACTCCAAGCTGGATTATCTGCAAGGTTTAGTTCTGTTACATTCTGCAAAATAAAAATGCAAACCTTAAGCTGTTTACTAATGGGTTTTGAATCACGATAACATTCCCTCAGATTTTTTTCACTGTAGTTTTTAATATTTTAAGTATATAGTGAGAACACAAGTAAATTGAGGTTTTGTAACATGTTTTAACTTTCACGGCACTCTAACATTAGACACAACCTGTTTACCTTAATGCTCTTGATATGTGATGCAGCTTCCATAGGAGTTTTATCAGATGATTTGTCCAACAAAAATTCAATGATGGCATCTTTGTTATACAACCTGTAACATAAAAATTTTAGTAGTCAAGTTTGATTCTCATAACATTCTTTCATTTATAAATTAGTACCTTTTAATATAATGGTCTATATGGAAACATTCATACCTGCCTAGCTCACAGGCTACAATTGGCCGACATAACTTCTCTTGACTCAGAGCACAGTAGTACCATCTTGCCACCAACTCAGCACTTTTGTCAACCTGAAGAAAAAAAACATACACATGATTTTAAAATAGCTTTTAAAATTTACAAATTATTTAAACATAAAATCAAGTAATACTTGAAGCATTAATCAAATCCCTGGGTATCTCACCAAGCTTACTTTCTGCATCACATCCAATTTAGTAAAACTTTCTAGCAAAATTCATGACCAGTTTGAGGATCTACTTCTATCTATTGAACAGATTTCTATATCATGGAACTTAGGACCTATCTTCCTCAGTTTTCTTATTTTTTGCCACTTCCACCTGTGCCCTTCCCTTTTCATTCTTTTTGTTCTTCATATGCTCTCCACTAACTCCTTCTCTCTAGTTCTATGTCTTGCCCCTGCTTGGATCAGCTATCAGTTCCACTCCCTGTAAGGAACAAGATAGTAAGAAAAGCTAATTTGTGGATGTCTGGATGCTGCCTGAACATCTAATTTAAAAACATGAATTTTATGACATGTTAGGCCATAGAAGAAATGCCAAGGTTCACAGCTACTCTGATAGTTTGGTGTGGGGAAAAAAAATATTTATTTTACATCAGCAAGTGTAATTTCCTTAAGTTTTCTGACACTTTCTGTGATATTTTTCCCAATCTTCATCCACCTATGAACACATATGATGACCCTCTATATCTATTATCATAAAATATCCTAAAAAGCCCAAGTAATGTTCAGAATGTAAGCAGATAGAATGCAGAAATGGACAATGATCTGGTCACACTATTTAACAATCTACAAAGTGTTGCCAGCAGACCTCATATCCCTAAGGTGAAAGAGGCCCCCAAACCCCATGCATTCACGCCAAAAAGCCCTCCAGAAGACAAAGGGACCTCCACTGTAGCGCCAGGCAGTCACCCTGAAGCGGTACCAGCAGACCGGCCCAGTGTCGCACAAAAGGGCGCTCTCCTCCACCCTGCCAGGACCAGGAGCGCCATTCCCGGCTCACAGGCACTCCGGGACGAGCAGGACTGACCAGGCCTCCGTAGGGGCTCTCTCCGCCGGGCCGAGGCCCACAGTGCGGGCCCAGGCTCACGAAGCCGGCCCGACAGCCCCCTGCCGCGCTCCCTGCCGCCCTCACACAGCCCCCTCCAACCTTCTCGATTTTGCGGGGCCCCTTGACCAGCTCGTGTCGCTTGGGGATGGTGCCGCCATCGCACCCCATCTCGCTCCCGGCAGCGCTGCTTCCGCGCCCGCTTCCGCCGCAGGGGTCACACTTCCGGTCGAGGGAGGAACTTCCGGCGTGCCCTGCGCGCGTCATTGCTGCTCCATGGCAACCGCCGGCTGGGGGCGTGGCCACACCGAGCGCCTCCATCTGGGCGGTGCCGGGGACGTGCCCCTGCGCACAGCGCCCCCGCGCGGCGGGAGGAG